CAGGGAGGGGGGGGGGGGGTCTTTGACGACGGGATGAAAAGGCAACAGGTTGATGAGAAGCAGCGGATGGACTGAGTCAACATTTGTCTGTGCACGCGTACACGCGTGTGCGTTTTCTGTGTCGTAAGGTGAAGAACATTCGGCCTTTCGCGTTGCGCCATGGAATCATCTCTTTACATAACGACGAAGGCACTAATAATTTGGCCCGTCGTCATTTGTTTATGTAAGCCGCATTCTCTGTTGTTCTCCCGCCGTACGCTCGCCACACAAGCTTTTCGTCTCCCGTGGCTCCTGCCAACCGTACAAGGCTGCATTTTTATTAACCTTTGTCCGGCTCCATCTCTTTATGTAACACCGCCTTTGCTTAACTTCCTGGGATCCACATCCGCTTTACGTAACCTCTCGAGCCGAGTCAAAGAGGAGGCGGGTGATGGGTCCTGCTCAAACGCTGCCGCTGAGTACCGCCATGGGGCGCCGCACGCCGCGCAGCCGCCGGCTTTGCCGCGCGACGCGTGTCGAGTGCGCTTTGGCGGGATGAACGCGCGTCGCTCGGCTGGCAGCAGTTCAGGCCGGCGCGCGAGCGAACGCGGTGCCTGCGGGCTATGCAGGTGAGCACATGGGCGCCGGTTGATCATGACGGTTGACTGCGTGTCTGGAGCAGAGCAATTTCAGGTGAAGTGAAACTGACTTGAGGGCAGTTTTGAGCTTTTATGTTGCAAAAATGTCCACTTCTAAAATATGTGGCGGCCCGGTGGCCCGCGCGTTGACCTCACAGTGCAGAAGTACCAGGTTCGATTTGGGCTCAAGCCTCCCTGTGTGGAGTTTGCATGTTATCCCCGTGCCTGAGTGGGTTTTCTCCGGGTACTCCGGTTTCCTCCCACATTCCAAAAACGGCTGATTGGACACTCAAAATCCCGAGGTGTGAATGTGAGCGTGAATGGTTGTTCGTCTATGTGCGCCCTGCGATTAGCTGGGAACCGGTTCAGGGTGTCCCCCAACAAGTGCCCGAAGACAGCTTGGGTATGCTCCAGAACCCACCGCGACCCTTGTGAGGGTAAAGCGGATCGGAAAATGGATGGATGGGCGGATAATACATGTGAGCTTGAATGAGTACTGAAAGCGCAATGATATGTGCAAGGAAGCAACTTTTAAGCAACGGATGATCGGACGCTCAAGAAGTCAAGCCAATGAATGTACACGTGCTTAACAACCGGATTAGGCCAGCGCCCGTCAAGTTTTACGCCACAGCTGCTCCCAAAAAAAAAACAAAGTGTCTTTATGGACACCCCAGAAACTCTTTGCCCTCAATTACATGTTATCAGAGAAGCCCACGAGCCAACTCGAAGTTGAAGTTGAGGTGTGAAAATGTGACTTCAAGTCTCAAAATGAATGCGATCTTATCCGTCGTGTACATTACTTCAAAGTGGAAAATGTCCGTCCACCAATATTTTTGGTCGTCTGAGAATCCGCCGGCCATGGCAACAACAGAAGCATTTCTCATCACTGTTAGCCAGCCGCTGATTCGCAAAGTGCGAAAGTTGTTTATCGCAAGGGACACATTCCAGACCGGCCCGCAATTGTCAGAACTAAACATTATAGACAGAACTTATCATTGTTTGGAGGGGGACGCTTTATGCCCAAATATGGTCAATTTCATACTTATTCATCAACAGAGAGCGTCGGTCTGTCCCCGTGTCGTCTGTTATTTTCACACATTATGAACCAACTCAAAATGTTTTGAGAATAGCTCGAGAAGAAATCTTTTTACCCTCTTGAACACGCCATGTGAAGCGTTGCGAAATGCCTCCTCCGCATTATGTTGCCTCAAGATTTAAGGTCGGGATGTTTTGGAGACAGGCGGCCCAGTGGACAAGTGGTTAGCGCGTCGACCTCACAGTGGGGAGGTACCAGGTTCGATTCCAGCTCCAGCCTCCCTGTGTGGAGTTTGCATGTTCTCCCCGGGCCTGCGTGGGTTTTCTCCGGGTACTCCCCTTTCCTCCCACATTCCAAAAACACGCATGGCAGGTTAATGGATCCCCCTAAATTGTTCCTAGGTGGCAACCGGTTCAGGGTGTCCCCCGACTACTGCCCCAAGACACCTGGGACAGGCTCCAGCACCCCCTTTGCGACCCTCGTGAGGATAAAACGGATTGGAAAATGGATGGATGGCGATATATTTACACACATATAGCAGGGGTGCAAATGATGAGCTGCAATAAAGAGTCGTAGCGGGCGGCGTCTTCCCAATGGCGGTTGCGTCTGAGCGAGACAACAACTTCATTCAAGCTTGTGGCGCCCGCGGCTGCGTAGAGAGCACATGGTCAAACACTCTCTTCCTGCGGCCCCCCACCCCCTCCTGCCCTTCTCCATCATGCGGGCAGACACTCTTTGAAGAGCATTTGAACTCACTTCAAAAGAGAAGAAAGAGATTCTTGGAGTGTCTGCGTTTAGCTGCCCGTCACTCTCTTTCGCGCCTAAATCCATGGCGGTGGATCCACAGGTGGCCGAACACCCAGCAACCCCCCCCCCCACCCCCCCAACTTAAACATCTCACCTTTGACCGATCTGTCAAACGTGCGGACTCAACAATCAATGTGAAGAAAGCCTTCGGGGAAAACAGCGGCGAAGCTTTCGATGAAGTCGCGAGCGATTCCAGTCCGTGAATTGAAGGGACGAACAACAGGTCCGTCAGTAGGTGGAAAATGATGTCGGCACGAAAATCTCGCCATTGAAACCACGTTTTTTCTTTTTCTTTCAATTTTTCTGCAGTTAGTCGGGCTTCCTCACACATTCCAAAAAAATGCAAGTTTGTTTCATTGAAGACCAAATTGTCCATACGCGTAAACGTTTTTGTGCGTTTTTTTTTTTTTGCCAGATGTGCCCTGTCAGCTGGCCAAGGCTCCAATTTCCCCCAAACTCATTTTGACCCGTCCTGTAACAAACAACAGTCAATGTTCAAATTCCAATACTGTTAGCAGGTGTTGAAATGATGATGAAGACCATAGAACAAATGATATACATTTCCATGAGTTCCTATTTGAAAATGTATTTGGGTTTCCAAAAAAAAAATCAGAGGCTTATCATCATCCAGGAAAGTGTGTTCAACCTGAAGTATTCACATGCGATATTTCGTCACAACTCATTGACTTACAACTGTTGATTTCCTAAAATTGGTTTGTCTTCTGATTCGGGGCGATCGCTCTGTTTGGATTTTTTTTTTTTTTTGGTTTGTTTTGCATGCATACAGATGTAGCCTAAACCTGCCACACCTCTTCCAGAAGGTTCTCATTGAGAGCAACACCCCCCCCCCCCCCCCCACCCAACACGCGATACATGCATGAGCTCACCATAGTGTCGTCCCACAAACAAACACACAAAAAGCATTGTGGAGGCGACCCGGCGGCGAGTGCGGCACAGGCTGCGCCTTTGCCCATTGTTGCGCCGTAAATCGGCGCTGACGGTGACAGGAAGTCGGGATTACAATACTCCCTATGAGCCCCGTTTATTTTCAGCTTCTTTCGTCAACACACGCACACGCACACGCACACGCACACGCACACGCACACACACACACACACACACACACACACACACACACACACACACACAGAACTCGGGCGTGTGCGCACGTGCGTGTGAGCAAGATAAACACGCGGGCTTTTTGGCCGTGAGTCATCAATGATGAGTGTTTACCATCTCACTAAAGAACTGAAATGTGTGGTGGTGTGGGCTTGACGTGGGATGTGATTAGTCAAAGTGTTACATGGTCTGTGCATGTGTGTGTGTGTGTGAGTAGGAGGGTGTGGTGGTCTTGCTAAGGGTCCGATTATGGTGATCACAGGTCCTGTGAATGCTAATATGTACTCTGTGTGTAAGTGTGGGCCATACACAAGTCTTATTCGGTCAGGACAGCGCAGGGCGCGCGCACACACCAAACCAACAGGTGTACACAAACACATACACAGCGGGGACGCACAATGGAAAGCTCACACGTACACACTGAACACAAGGCGATAACCGTGCCGGCGTGAACTTTCCTGCCACGGAGGCCTTCTGACTTACAAGATGGCTGAGTGCGTTTCCTGCAGCCTGATGTGTGGATGTGGTCACCGAGGTGACGTGGACGCGTGCATCCGTAGCCGCGTACTCGACTGAACCTTCCAAAAGCGCTCCAATTCCAAGTTCGGATAACCGTTTGCTTGAAAAAAATATGCCCAAGTCAAAAGTCGAACAAACCATCCACATGCCCGATGGATGAACTATTAAAATTATTTTTGGGGTGGCGTCATAGCTCAGTGTGTGTCCCCGCTGATGTCCACTACTTACACTAAGAACATGGCTGCAAACAGAGAGAAGTCAAGTTGCAAAAGCAGAGTGATTATTACCAACGTCAAAATTTGGGTTGCTGCAATTTCAGACGTTTTCGACCCCTCGAGCGACTCGTTTGGATGCGCTTCCCGTATTATTTCATTCGGCGTTAGCATTTTTAGCATAGGTGTTGCTTCTTTTTATCGGGGCCCGTCGTGGAGGTCCACCGCTGCTCAAATACATTTGGAAATGAAGCTAACACACCAAACATGCATGTAAGCCAGACGGTTCCGGATACAATGGCGCGCTTGTGTGCGTGAATGTGCACACGTGTGGGCTTGTTAATCTTTTCCAGCTGTGTGCGGCAGCCCCCTCTGACCTCTGTATAGGGAACCCAAGTGCGCTATTGCTGACCGTTAGATGTGCCTCTGAGAGAAGGGGGCTGGGAGCTCATTAAGTCGCTGTCTGGATGTATGCGATGCCAGAGTAAAAAAAAAAGAGGTTTTGACCGTTTACCCTGTGGACCATTAAGGGCCCCACATGAGCATTTGACGGACCGTCGTGCCGTTCTAACAATAAATGGATCAAAAGCACCTGGAACATCCAACCCACAAACACAGGGGGGTCCACACTTTTTGACTGGCCCAACATACGATGTTTCAAGATTACAAATGGAAGAGACTACTCGACTTTGCACGTGTGTGTGTGCGTGTGTGTAGATAGATAGATTTGTGTCTGTGGGCGGATTACACCCGGACTGGTTGCCAGTCAATCGTAGGCATCGCCAAACGAGCATTTGCATTCACGTTCACACCCATCTTCGATAAAGGCAAAACACGATTTTGGGAGGTGTGAGGAAGAAAAGAGGAAAACAAGGGAGAACACGCAAACTTCACATGGGACGACTGGAGTTACGACCAACCCCCCCCCCCAAAGAAAAAAGAAAAAAAAATCACGCCAACCACTTTCATCAGCAGCCCACACAGCAATCAATTCCAATGAAAAACAAAAGTGTGTGGTGTGTGTGTGTGTGAGGGGGGGGCTGTAATTTCACCATGTGTTCAGCAGGCAGGCATGTCATAATAACAAAAGGTGCAAGTAATGACGGGGATGATGAAAAGGAACACTTCAAAACACTTTTCAAGGTGCGCATGCATGGGGATGCTAATTGCCACGTGTGATTAGCGGACTCCAGGTTTTCTCCATATGAGGGGCACAAGCTGGCCCGCCCTCTTAACAAGCACACGTGTGTGTGTGTGTGTGTGTGTGTATGTGTGTGTGTGAGTGTGTGTGCGCGCCGCTTCATTCATCTTTAGTGCCGCTAATCCTGCCGCCACTTTACTCAGGATGTGCATCACCCCAGCATGGCTCTGAGGACAGATTTCCCCCCCCCCCCATCACGTCAGGTGGGGCCCCGCTTGTTGGCCCGCCCTTGTCACCTAAAAGGTGACTTTGCTCCATTCATCCACAGCAGCCCAAAACAAGAACGGAGGAGGACGCCGAGAGAGGGATGCAAAGACTCGCTATATTTAAGCACTTACCACTGCTTAAGCTTCAAATCTGTCACAGCTCGAGAGGATGGGCATGCTATAAATAATCGGCATGACCGCAAGTGTCCCAGCTCACATTCGTTGCCTGCCTGATGGAGGAATTCTAAATGCAGACTCTTGACATTGCAAGGATCCTAATCTCAAAGGTAAAGGAGCGGGCAGTTTAAAAAAAAAAAAAAGACGTCTATTTTAAACAAGGGAAATCCTTGAACCTCTATTCTTGTTAGAACCCTTCATGTAGCTTACCGAGTTGATCTAAGGTCTAATTCAAAAGGCGATTCTGGAGCGCGAAATAAACTTCAGCCAAATCACCGGTGCGACGCGCCAACAATCTTGGCTTCGTGTCGACGGTTGGAAATTAAAAAGGACAAGCAAAAGGCAGTGAGGTGTGACCGGTCAAATAGTTGACCGTTTTACTTGGCGCAAAGCAGGCCGTACTGCTACAGCTCAATAGCGCGTACGAGGGCACGTGGCCAGCGTTGGGTCGTTGCTATTTAGAGATTCAACACACATGACCGATGGCTGAAAGAGTGCCAAAGTGTAAAAAGGCCGGCCGGCGCCTACGCGGGGCCCCAATGAAACGCTTCCAGTCAACTTCACCCCACGAGACGGAAAAGTCATCCAAGCCTGTCACGGATTCTCGTACGGCTTGACAATTTGGGCTCCTCCACCTGCAAACAGCCAGGCGAGGCGAGGCACCTCCGTACGCTTCCGCACCTCTTTTGGAGGCGTCTGTTCAGCAGATGCCGAAGAGACTTTTCTTCATCCGTGTGTTGAAAAACCGTCAAGGCGGTGGGCAATGAGGCACTTGTGGAAAAACGACTCTGTCTGTATATTGGCTTGGCTGATCTCAAAGCATGCTTTTCGCTCACTGAAGCCAAAAAGAAAGACGGCGAGTCAAAGTCTCTCTCGGGAGGAAGCCGACACACTTGGCGGAACGGGCGTTCATCTCATCTTTTGTACATTGCTTTTTTTGGAGAGCATGTGGCTTGAGTAAGTCGATTGCATCAGAGCAGCTGCGCGCTTGGTGGCCGAGCTTACGAACAACGCGACCGAGTAATTGCCCTTCGTCAAGTCTGCTTATTTCAAAACAATCCACACTCATTTAACTTCTGTCTGAAGGTTAGTCGTTGCAACACGTCCACAAAGAACAAACGTTTGCCTTTTTTTTTTTTTTTTTTACCTCAGTGCCCTGCTGAGTTTGTCGTAGTTCATTTGGGGTTTGCACTTCCTGGCCCCCCAGAGCCGGGCCACCTCATCCGGGTCCTTGATGACGAACTCGCCGTAGTCTCCCTGCCAGGCAATGACGTCGTGGTACTCCTCCTTCCGCAGCAGCTCCAGGATGAAGTGCCACAGCTGGATCTGCCGCGATCCGGGGCTCGACTCCGGCTTGTAGGCCCAGTCGGGGAAGGCGAAACCTGTCATGGGTAAAAAAAAAAAAGTAGGCGGCCTGTGAGTAACAAAATCATGCCCAATCGATGTCGAACGGCAAGTCGCGGGCACACGCCGGGGTCGAGGAGTCCAGATTTGTTTGATGGGAGTCAGCGGTTTGTAGCCGTTTCAGGTGAGTGGAGTCTACGAGAGCAAAGAGGATTACGAGTGTCTCGCCAAGTATAGCTCGCGCATAAGAGTGCGGCTTAGTCAGGCTCGCGGTGGAGTGTCCTCATTCATATTTCACGTCCGGCATGAATGTCTGCTCGCTCACCTTTCCCTCTGCTTCCCGACACTGTCTGGATGCTCTCGAGAAATTTCGGTTTGGGGAAAGCCCGGTCGCATTTCCACCAGAATATGCTTTTGTTCCGTTGAGTTGAGCAAAGTTTGATCTGTAGTCCGATGGTTGGCTAACAAAACAAAGTTTTGCTTCGACCCCAGTAGGCTGGTGGCTTTGCACGTCAGTTTCGTGAGTCAAAAGGAAACTGCATGAAAACACCAATCCGGCTTTCCAAGAAACAAGAAGAAGAAAACAAGAGTCCCATTCACACACTTGACGCGAACGAACGTCGCGCACAATATCGGCAATGACATCATTCAGAATAATTCACTCGTATGACATTTGGGTGGTGAGAAATAGAAATACGAAAATGACAAGCTCAATTTTGTTTGTCCGATATGACTGTTCACCAGTTCTGTCGGTCGAGTCAAGTACACGCTCTCGTCATTGTGGCGCGTTCCTCCGTGGACCAGATTTTCTGTTGCTGGTCACTTCCTGGCTTTTGGTGTGAATTGTGGCTTCCAAGGCATACCACCCCCCCCCC